GGGAGCCTGATGTGGGGCTCGATCCCAGGACCCTGGGATCATGACCTGAGCCGAAGGCAGACGCTTAACGACTGAGCCACCCAGGCGCCCCTCTGGGGAGGTTTTTAAGTGAGAGAGTTGCCTGCAGAGATCCTTTTTCTCCTCTGGAACACAGGATGGCAGCACTTTGCCTGCTGCTGGGACAGGGAGTTCATGGTCTGTTGGGGGCATGTCAGCAACCAGTTCTTAATAGTGCCACACTGGTGGGACTCAGCATTACGTGGGTCCCTAAGAAACAGTTAAGAGAATGTGTCAAACGGATGAGGCTAACAGCCTTTTCCCTCAGTCATTTGCTATGTCTGACTGTGGGTTCTATGTTAGCAATGTGGGCTGCATACCTGCCTTCTCCAGGTCCTGGGGGCCCCCTCAGCTCACAGAAGAACCCCTCCCTGCTCTCTGGCAGATTTCCCATCTACCTCCCTGGCTGCCCCTCCACAAGCCTCTTATAGTCCCTACTCCTCTGAGCTGATCACAACTGTTCCCATGGCCAGCACACGATCATGTCCTGACAAAGCCTCTACATTTCTATCTCCTGGCTCACCAGTTCCCTGAGCTGGACTTTTAATGTCAAACTAACATTTCCCATTGGAATATTTATCATGTTCTATATGGAACCCTTCCTTTTCTTTTTCATTCCCAAACCCAATTGTCCTCTTGGTCAGCAGCTTAGCCATCCACCCAGGTGCTCAAACCTGGAACCTGGGCATCTTCCATGATCTACCCCCTTTCATTCTCTAACGTCTGATCCATCAGCAAGTCTGGTCCGTTTACCTCCAAACTATACCTCAAACCTGCCCATCTCTCTCCTTCCCCACAGCCTCTACCCTAAGCCAAGCCACCATCACCCCCACCTGGACCGCCCGATGGCTCAGGAGCTGCTCCTCTCTATCCTTGTCTCTTCACAATCCCTCCTCATGCCATCCCTCTTTCTCAGATGGGGAAGTCCCCCTCCTGGCCTGGGAGCTCCTTCTTCCCTCTCCCAGCAGCTGCTTCCTTTAGACCTTGGTCTAATCAACATCTCTTTCATATGGGCCTTCCCCAGTCTTTTCAGATTAGTCCTGCCAGAGCCCCCTCCCTGCACAATGGTGAGCTCAACCCTCTCAATTCCTTCATCAACTGAGCACAATTGGCAATTACTCTACTGATTTGTTTAGTGGTTAAGAGTGGTCTCTCTATTAGGCTGTGAACAACATGGTCTGGAGGGGAACTTTTCTCATCTTTTATCACCACTGGATTCCCAGGGCTTGGTATATGGTAGGTGCTTAATAAATAGTAGCTGAATAAATGAATGGTATGAAGGAAGGAAGGAACATTGATAGGGAGAACCTGGTTGAAGGCCGAGGCTGCCCCCCTGTGGCCACATCAGAGACCTGCAGCTTCCAAAGAAACAACCCCCACCACCGCCGCCCCCCGCCTGGAGCCCAACACCCCCCATTCCTACTCATTCTTTTCCAGGACAGAATTCAGGGGTCCATTAGATCTCAAGGACCCCCTGATCTTTCCCATGCAAAATCTCTTCCTTTCTGCAGATTGAGAGTAGGAAGTACTCCACCAGAGGTGCTTCCTTCCCCAGGGAAGCTGAGGAGCGAGGAGCAGGCCAGCTTTCCCTGCCTGGGAGGAACTACAGTGAGAACCCCTGGCCTCAGAGGCCTTGTGGGCCATGGAGAAAAGCTGGACCCATCAGGGAGACCTCAGCCCCGTGAGGTCAGAGACTACAGCCTTGGGAGGATTGGAGATGAGAGGAGATGCAGAAAGAGGTTCAGAAAGGCAGGAGCTCTTGTGGCAGAGCCTGGATAAGAGCCCCACGTGTGTCCCCATGCCATCCTCCGCTTCTACAGTGCCCAGGGATACCCCTGGATACACATGATCTTTAAAAACAAGCAAATAAATATGAAATACAACTTCTAAAGTGGTTTTTTTTGCTTTTCAAAGGCCCCACCCTCTGGGAGGCCCGTGCAGAAGTCTGAGGCTCCTGCACCCTCCCCTATCAGTGTCCCTCCTGTTTAACAACATCTTTGGACACATTTCAGCTCAGCTCAACTGTGCTGAGGGACAGACAAGGGGAAGGCTTCGGTCTACATTTGAACTGCAGGGTTAAAAGCAGCTTCCTGGGGGGGCACCTGGGTGGCTCAGTCAGTTGATCCTCCAACTCCTGGTTTCAGCTCAGGTCCTGATCTCGCAGTCATAGGATCGAGCCCCATGTCGGGCTCCACGATCAGGGAGTCTGCTTCAGATTCTCTCTCTCAAATAAATAAAATCTTTAAGAAAATAAAAAAATAAAAAATAAAGCAGCTTCCTGGGACTAAGGTGGCAAAACCAAGGTGGGGATGAAATTCTGGGGAACAGGATGTGGTGTACACTTGGTGAGGATCTCCCCCCGGGGGCTGGCCGAACCTCAGGGGTCCCCTGTCCCAATCACAGTGCAGCATCTTTGGAGGTACCCACTAGGCCTGCTTCCCTGGCTTGGCCATCCACTCTCTCTGCACACCCTGGAAGGAAAGTGGGCAGGAAAAGGCCCCTCTTGGCGAGGTTTCCTTACCTCCCTCTTGAGCGGAGCCACGTAAGCCCAGGAATTGGTGGTGGGATCGTAACACTCCACAGCATTCAGATCATTATGGTAGTCGCGCCCCGCCACCGCATAGATGTACCTGCCCACAACACACACACATAGGTCCGCGTGCTCCTGCTGCAGGGACTGGATCTGGAACCAGCGGTTGTGCCTTGGGTCATACCTTTTGAGGGAACATGAGGGCAGTGTATCACTGAGTGGCCAGAAAGCCTGGCTAGCAGGCCCATACCTCCTGTTCCACCGCTGTACCCTGATCCACTCCCCCACCCAGCTGCCCTGACACACCAGCACATGCCTACCCACAACCACACCAGCAGGCTGCTACCTGCCTGAACATGGGTGTGTCCCCAGCACAGAGCCTGGAAGGCATGGCCAGGAGCCCCTTGGGTTTCTGCCCACAATGCCAATACGTTCTGGGCGTAATCTCATGGGGAGGGTTTCTAGCCCACCCATCTGTCCACCCCAAGCTGCCCCATGGCTGTTCCTACAGCCGTCTCCATCTCACCTATCCAGATCTATGGTCCACACGGCCCTGTCCCCATTCAGGAATGCCCAATTATGGCCCCACCCGTGGACAGACACAACAGCCTCCCAGCCTCCAGTCAATGCCAACACTCCTTCTGGGGTGATCTGCCAGGCTCCTGTCACAGCCCACCCCTCCATCAATTCATGCTCCTCTCCTAAGCTGCCTGTTGCCAGCTGGTGGAGTGAGAATGAACTGCCATGCTGGGCTGACTACAGCAGGCCCGCGCGGCCAGAGGAGCAATGCTGTGCTGAGGGGCTTCCCAGGAGAACAGTTAGAGGAGGCCAGGGAAGCTGACCACTGCCTAGCTTCTCCTGAGCTCCTGCCGAGCCCCAGCGCTGCAAAGCTTCCTCTCCCGACACCCCTTTCCTGGGAGACACAGCTGTCCCCAAGCCTGCCTTCTTTCTCCATCAACCTTTTAAAAACGTCATATCCCCAAGCAGCAGCTTCATTCTGAGCTCCTTTGTGCAACTACCCCCTCCCATGGCCCTGAGGCTGCTCTGCCCCTCATCTGCCTTTGAAGGCCTTCACATGCTCTACCCATGCGATCTCAGCCATCCCAGGAGACCAACTATCACCCCTCACTTCCTCTGGCATGTCGGACCCACGTGGCAAAGGCCTCCTAGCCATCTCCAGCTGGCTGCTCACCCGTCCTGAACGGAACCCCGCGCTCCCTCTGCTCACCCAATCCCACACTCACCCGCAAGCCCAAGCTCATACCAAAATCCTCACTTAGCCTAGCAGCCTTGGCCCTTCACAGGCCAGTCCACACCTACCTTGCCAGCACTCAGCACTGCCCTACTCCATGGCCCGGGCCCGGCACTCTGCGGGACATGCAAGCAGGTATGCTATTTGGGTGAATACAGAGGATTACAGAGCCTTGAGTGACCAGGACGCCGTGAGCCCGAGCCCCACATCTGGCCCCTTCCCCGGACATCCACTCAGGTACCAGCATCGGAGTGCCTGCTCCTGAAGCCTCCTTGCCCAACAGCTCGTGCATAATTATAGTCGCTTTCAGATAAGTGGTTTTTATTTCTCCACAGGAAGACCAACTCCAAGGGGATAAGCTGAACTGCAACTGGCTCATAGAGAAGGAACAGAGTTTTCTTTGGTCAGTGCCATATACAGGTCGGTGAAGACACAGGTTTCATCCCTTGCCCCCCGAGGACAGGTTAGGCGTGCTCTGCAGCTGCTCCTTCCTGCCTACACCTTTTGGCCAGTTCTTCCCTGCCAGCCAGGAAGGACAGGAAACAGGATGCCTCAGGGGCTGGGGCTAACAAGAGAGCAAGAACATGCACACAGGTCACAGACACTTGGGTTTGAGAGCTGGTCTGCCCCTGGACAGCCAGGTGCGTGCAGGCATTGCTTCTCCTCTCTCCGGCATTCACCCAGCTTCCGCGCCTGCCCGAGGGGAGGATGCCGCCTGCCTACAAGAGCTATCACAAGGGCTCAGAAAGGACAATGCACACGAAAAGGGTCCTTGTCAAACTGGAAGGGAGTTCATAAAGGACTGGTTCGGGTCTGTATTCCTAGACCTCACTGTAGCTCAGGGCAGATCACGCACTGTCTGCTCGATGAATTAAACACAGATTACCAGCAGTGAAATCATTCAGTCACTGCAAATATTCGCTGGCCACCCGACGTGGATCAGGCATAGTGCTCCGTGCAGGGAATCCCAAGGGAAACTCCACACAAGCACCCGTCTTTCCCCTGTAGAGGTACAGAGAGGGTGATCTATCCAGAAGTCATGGTCTACTGTGCAGCAGGGGCTGGGACAGTAGAGCTCTCTCACAGAGACCAGGAAGGGCCTGGCATTTAAGAACTCAATGACCAGGGGCACAGCCAGTTGAAGGTTTAGCTGGGGACAGGCAGCCCTGGCCAGTCCAGGGGCTCAGCCCTCACAGAGGCCCTGCCAACTGACTGGGATGGGCTCTTCCCACTGCCTCTCCTGTGCATGACTCTCATTCATGTACATGTCGCCCTCACCCCATTTCTGGTCAAGTGCAAGTCAGCATCTTCCACCAGAGCGAGACAAGCCCCACCAGATGCTTCCGCTTGCTTCCTTCTGGTCTCCTGCCCTCACGGCTTCCTCGAATGCATTCATATGGATTTGTGGTTTCAGATTTAACACCCGCGTGCACACACACATACATACTACACATACACATCCCATACATCAATATTTTAGACGCAACCACAGTTGCACTAACTTCTTATCTCCCCACTGTGTCCTGTATACCACTTTTTCCTCTTTATTGGATTGATTTTCTACTTTGTTGGAATAAATCCTAAGGATATAAACAGTTTTAGTCACTTTAAGGCAGATTTTTGGATCGTCCTACTGCAAACTCAGAAGTGCAAGCTAGAGTTAATACAAAATGCTCTGGGGTCTTTGTTAAATTGAGCAGACCGTTTTTCTTCTGTGTTTCCACAGCTTAAGCATTCTCATAACTATTAATGAAGTCCATTACAATCAAAGAAATTTTTAAAATATATTTTGAAATATGAACAACCATGGAAATGCCTAAGGGAGAAAACAAGTTGCTATTCTAAGTAGGGTCCAATAGGCCATGGGCGAGGCGGGCAGTCAGTACAGGTCCCCCTATATGAAAGTAGGCTATTCCTTGGAAACCTTTCAAAAGCTGAAGTGGCATAAAACAAAGCAAATACAATTAATTCACATGGGAAAAAATTTGAGCATTCCCAGACCCAAAAAATAACCGTTCTCAGGGCTTTTCTGATACCTCGGGTCACACCTTGCTAACGATGCACAAAATAAATGGAGATAAAGCACGGATGCTCAGAGAGTTCGAAGCTCTGGCCGCTTGTAGTTCCTAGGGAGGGCGCCTGGAGGTGCCACTCTCGCTCAGGGTGCATGTTGCCTCTATTAATGCTCGCTGCAACACCAACACTGAACACTATCTTCGCTTTTAATCTTCTTTTCGTAAAAGCGAAAATCCTCTTCGGAATTCTACTGGTTAGCGAAAACAGGTACTAATGTAGATCTTTCACAAAAGCAAAGTGGAGTAACGTAGACTTTGTAAGCGGGGTTGGGGGAGTACAAATACAATTTGCTAAGACAGCTAACTTCTTATGTGCAGTTCCTGTTGTACCAATGCTCTGATATAACCTGAGAAGTCTCCAACACCCCAAATGCAAACCCTAACTGCAAATTTTGTCTTCTTGTATTCTGAGAGTCTGTAGATCCTAAGGCTCATAAACTAAGGATGGGGAGAAGGAAGAGAACCAAACTCTTAGACCATTCAAGTTAAGATCCATCTGGCAGTTTTAAAAGTCTATGAGATTAATGGAACTCCCCACCCTGTAGAGATGACAGACCCCGGGGTCCTCCCACCACCTAGGCAGACACTGCACCCCAACCCCTTCGCAGTGCCTCCCTTGCCAGGCAGGTCTCACACACCCCACCTGCCACAATGACCCAACCTTGTCACTGGAGTTTGAGGCTGTGGTTATCAAACGTCGGTGCAGATACTAGCATTCTCCAGAGTTTGGCTTGGGACTCACAGCACGTGTTCACCAATGGGAAATTTAGACCAGTCTTGAGTGAAACTGACAGCAAGGCAATAAAAGGGCGGACTGAGGGCAGGCAGTGCCCCCCCCCCCGGCCTCGTGGGAAAGCCCCACCGCCTCCCTGTGGGCACACAACCACCCCACTGTATGCTAAGGGCTAGTGACCACAACACCCTGGAGAGGCCTGGTTTGCACGTCTGTGGGTTGCTCTCAGCAGGGAGGTCTGGCCTTGGCCCTCCAACAGGGGAATAGGCCCCTAAAAAAGCAGCTTTGAGGCTTTTCAAGGGAAGGCTGAACCTGGTGCTGCCACACCCACTGTGGAGGATATTTGGGTTAGGGAGAAAATGAACACATTGTTTCTTCCTTTCTGAACGCAGCCTGTCCTGTGTTTAACTGTACTTGAGCTGCCAAGCTTTGGGTCTCTTCAGTTTAACAGAGGTGATTGCTTCCTGGGGCCCAGAAAGCAGAAGTGGCTGGAGCCCTCTCCTCATGCTCACTTCCGTGAGGCATGGCCAGGCCAGACCCCACCCCCCACCCCCGAGGATGGAAACATGAACATGAACTTGGTTGGTACCTAATTCACAGCCATGGAAGCAGTTGGCAATCTCTCTCTCTTTGCAGTACCAGCTTTCTTTCAGCTTGCAGAAGATGGAGACTTCCCACATACATCAAATCCCATGAAATCAAACCGAAGTATGGTGGAGGGGCCCTGGACACCTAATGGTAGCTGAGGCTGTGGGGATCTACTCTGATTCCTTCGTTCTGTCCCCAAAAATAAATTTGTGGGATCACAGCTCAATAGACTGACAGAACTAGAAGCATCCTACAGACCAGGACAGTCCACAAAACCCCCTCTTTTGGGTTCCTGGAGTCAATTCTGATGTATGTGTTGGGGCGGGGGGGGGCATGACATTTTCTCCACACCAATAAGCAATTCCCTGGACACTAATTAAGTGTCCTACAATTCAACTCAATCCCAACACTATCTACCTGGAGGTAGCATCAGATCCCACGGGGTGAGGGCTCACTCTACAAGATGGTATGGCCACCCTACCTGTCCCCATTTCAGACACTAGTCACAAGCCCAGGCTGTTATCTATGCTTCTGACCTATGGGCTACTAACAGAAGGTTCCAATGACCCCCTCCAGCTCAGAATGCCAATCACAAGCACCAGGTTGTGCCTCTGACCAACTGGCTATAAATCAGAGGTTCCCAGGACCCCCTTCCTTGGGTTTCATTAATCTGCTAGAGCAGCTCACAGAACTCAGAGAAACATTACACTTACTAGATTACCCATGTATTATAAAAAGATATGTATCAGGAACAGCCAGAGAGGAAGAGATGCACAGAGCAAGGTCTGGGGAAAGGGCAGGGAGCTTCCATGCCACCCCAGGTAGGTGTGCCACTCTCCCGGCACCCCCAACTACTGGGTGGTCGCCAACCCCGAAGCTCTCCCAACCCCCTCCTTTATGTAGGCTTCACTACATAGGCACAGTTAATTAAATCACTGGCCAATGGCAACTGATTCAACCACAGGCCCTTCTCCTCTCCCCAAGGTCGGAGGGCGCGACTAAAATTCCAACCCTCTAAATGGCAGGGTTGGTTCTCCCGGTGACCAGCAACCCCTCACATTCAGGGGCTTCCAGAGTCACAGAGTTGGAAGCTCTGGCCGCTTGATGCTGAAATGCTGGGTGTAGTTCCTAGGGAGGGCGCTTGGGGGCGCCACTCTGGCATTAACTCGTTAACATAACAAAAGACAAAATCAGTGCCCTCCTCTTAGGTAATTCCAAGGGTTTTAGAAGCTATGAACCAGGAACTGTGTATAAAGACCTAACCTATAGAAAAAACATATATAGTACATCACAATAACCCTCCTGCTCTTGGAAAACTGCCTGCTCAGAAGACCTCGGGGGACCCCATGCCCACCAACATCACTGACGCCAGGGCAGGCAGGGGTAATGAAATCTGGCATGAAGCTCGGCGATGCCCATTGGCTTTTTGGGTCCCCTGGGCTGAGGACTGTACACTACAAAAGAGGGAGGGAGGACAGGAAGCCATCCTCCACCAGGGGCTTGTGGTAAAGAGAGCAGAGCACAGCTGATGGGCAAAGGGACCCTGGGATGAGACACGTCAAAGCTGGAGAGGGCAAGATGGAAGGAGCAGCTGCCCTGCCCAGTGCTCCTGGCAACTCGGTCCGCTCCTTCCGAGGCCGATCCCTGTGCCCAGCCAGTCTAAGTGCACAGTCATTCACAACCTAGCCCCTCACCCACAAGATAGCGGGGTGTGTGACCCATGGTGAGTGGGTCTGAGAAGAGGACAAGAGCGAAAACAAGCATGCCCAGTCCCCTCTTCCTTGCCTCATGGTGGCCCGCACTCTCCAAATTAGCCTGGACTTTACTCCATAAGACAGGTGTACCCCGACAAGCCACAAGATTAATTTAAAAGGCTAGTGCCTCAGCCCTTGCAGAACCCACTCCACAAGCAGCCTCTTGAGCCTGTAACTCCCACACCACAGCATCAGCCACAGACGAAGTCTCAGCCCAGCACCCTCGCCTACCTCCAGCACCGGGACTCGGCGCGGAAGCCCTGGACATTGTTGTCCCCTCCGATCAGGTACACAAAGTTGTTGAGCACCGCGATGCCCTGGTTGGACATGCGGGGGGCCAGGGAGGCGGTGAAGTGCTTCCACTCTCCCAGTAGGGGGTTCAGGTACTTGGCCTGGTCACTGAGGACAGTGGACGGCGTGGAGTGAATGCCCCCAAAGCCCACGACGCACTGGAAGTCCGACCGCAGCTCTGTGTGAGGGCCCTGCAAGCTGGGCTGCAGGCTCTCATTGCGGTGGTACATGAGGGCGCTGGCCACCGTGTCCCTCAGCGGACTGGGGTCCAGCTTATCGTGCAGCCGCTGGAGGACCTCAGCTTCCATCAGGGGAAAACGCACTGTCTCCAGGAGCTTGGGGGGCTCGTGCAGTGAGATCTGGTCGGCCTGCACCTGCTCCAGGGTGTAATGGTAGAGCAGGGCGCCCTCATACACCTCGGTCTCGCAGGAGACCTCCAGGCGGTTGCTGCTGAGGAGGGAGTAGACCTTCTCCAGGGGAAGCTGGCGGTACTTGTCAGTCCGCGAGAAGGCCACAAAGTTTTTGAGGATGTAGGTGTCCAGCTGCTCGGTCAGACGGCTCAAGTCAAACAGCTCCGCCAGCCGGTAGACATCAAGGATGTTCTCTTCGTCCACCCAGGACATGAGGAAATCACAGCAGAAATGGATGATTTCTGGGATCTGTGAAGAGAACAAGCCCCATTCAAGCCCGGGCTGGGAACGGTGTCTGGGCGAGGGAGACAAAGGATAAAAGCCGTGGGCTACAGCTGGCCTCCCTCCGCTCCCCCCAACCTTTCCTGAAGTGGAGGCGTGGCAGAGCTGTTCTCCCCCAACTCTAGAGGCGACTGGGGCTCACTGCAGACTGACTGGGTTTAAATCCAGGCTTGGAGGAGATCTGTGGCACGTTCTTAACTGCTCTGAGCCTCGGTCTCCTCCTCTATAAGCGGAGAGGAATAAACTGAAAATGAGACCGCACCCAGGAACTATCTGGCACAGAGAGGACACCTTCAGATCAAAAGTAGCGAATCTCCAGAGAATCAGGAAGCAGCACAGTGCCCACCACATCAGCCACCCCTGCTCTGGAAGGTACCTGGGATCCCAGGCTCTCTCTAAGATATTTAGCTGTCTTCTCCCCACCCCCCGCCCGCCCCCCCAGCTGCAGGCTCAGCCAAAGCTGCAGCCCCAGGGAACCCGTCCCCTACCCCAGGAGCAGGGCCCTGAACCCCCCATGAGCTAAGAACTGTCAGCAGGGCGTTTCGGATGCTCGCCCAACACCCTTCAGGGGAACTCCGCTCAGTTCTTAAAAGGCTGGAAGCCATCCTGCCTGGGCAGAGCCCTACAGGATTCTAGCTAGCACAGGGGTCCCAGGTGGCCGACACCTGCCCTTTTCCAATCACGCAGAACTGGTGGGTTGAAAGGTGGGTAAGAAGAACAGTGCTAAGGTAGGAGCTGAGAAGTGAGCCCCAGGCTCAGAGGCTATCACATGATTAGACAATCAGAGCATGGCAGGGTGAAGGAGATAGAGAGGAGGGCTCTAGAGAAAGCTGCCCAGGCATTGCTAAGTTGTTTAGGAAAACAGGATTTTGAAATTGCTCTAAAAATGGGAATACCTCACTCATCATCAAATACCTCACTCATCATCAACAAATTAACCAGTACACATAGAGTAATTCTGCTGGTATGTGAAGCTTATTAATAAATGTTTAAAATCTTTTTATCTTTATTTTTTTCTCATTCCAAAGATACTCTGTGCTTGCCAGGTCATTAGCTAAGGGCTGAATGGAAACAGGCAAAGTGCCAGGCATGTGTCTGCCCCAGATGGAACGTCCCTATAGGGCTCTGTTAGGTCCTGAAAGTCTTCACTCAACTACCTGTTTTCTCCCTTGGCAGGCACTTCTGCTTTGCCTCTTCTTCCTAAAATACTACTTCTGATCTGTCGTGGGCCAGGAAACTGAGGACCTGGTTCTGGGGAGGAAGTGAGAGCAAACAGCCCTCAGTGGGCAGGAGAAGCAGCTCCTGAAAAACCCAGGGACAGTGTCACCCTCTCCTTCCCATCCTCATTGTCACAGCAGGGGGCCCTCTGCTAGGGAAGCTCACAGAGGAATCACCCCAGGCCTGCCCAGTGCAGGAGCCCCATGAGAGGCTCAGAGAAAGGAACCCTTGCCGGGGGTTACCCTGTGGTGACAGTCTTGCTGGGATTCAGATCCAGGTCTCTGGGAACACCAGGAATAGTCTGATCCTGAACTAGTGCAAGGCACAGCACATGGGGAGCATGTGGTCACTGGCTACATGAACAAACATGACCCTGGTGCCTATGGACTTGGAACTGTTAAACCAAGTAAAACTTGCTTTAAAAACAACATTGCGGGGGGGGCGCCTGGGTGGCTCAGGTCATGATCCCAGGGTCCTGGGATGGAGCCCCACATCTGGCTCCCTGCTCAGCGGGGAGCCTGCTTCTCCCTCTCCCTCTGCCTGCCACTCTCCCTGCTTCTGCTCTGTCAGATAAATAAATAAAATCTTTAAAAAAAAAAAAACATTGCAGAGAGGCTGGGTGGCTCACTTGTTAAGCGTCTGCCTTTGGCTCAGGTCATGATCCGGGGGTCCTGGAATCGAGTCCCACATCGGGCTCCCCCTGCTCAGCGGGGAGCCTGCTTCTCCCTCTGCCTCTGCCTCTGCCTCTGCCTGCCACTCCCCCTGCTTGTGCTCGCTCTATCTCTCTTGCTCTCTCTGTCAAATAAATAAATAAATAAAATCTTAAAAAAAAAAAAATTTGCATAGAAGCCCACTATGTTAAAAATAAAACCCCAAAAAGCTGGGCTGCTCGAGGTAAAGCAGGGGTTCCCCATCCCGTGCTGCCCCCACAATGGCCTCAGAAGCGCTAAAGTACTCAGGAGCACTGGCTCAACTCCATCTACTCATTGCATATGGTGAGCCATGGTCAAACCAACCCAACAAGCACAAGCCAAGGGTCTCCCCCCACCACCCATCTGAGAGGGACACCGCAGGGCATTCCTGGGGCCCTGCCACACAGTGTGGGGCCTCCAGACACCCCTGAACAGGTTGGCTTTCCTGACTTTTTTCTGATGGCCCCAAACGTGTTCTGACCTGAGAAAAGGTCAGGATAATGAATTCAGCATAGCATTTCATTTTCACTTTCAACAAATGTAAGATGAGACGTCTCTTCAGCCAGATGAGACCATCTGACAACGGCTCCTGAAAGCAAAGGCACGTGCAGGCCCAGCCCTTGCGTGACCGCACCAACGCCCCCGAGGTAACACAGCCTTCCAAAACGTAAGTCACGCTGTCAAAGCCTCAGAAAACTTTCTGAGCTCTGTAGGAAAACAAGTATTCAAAATTCAATGACAAAAAGGAAAGTAGTTTTGAAGAGACTGGCGAGACCGAGTGGGGTGGATGAGCAGAAAAGGCCTGGGCAACTCGGGGAGCAGCTCAGCTTCATCAGGGCACGTGGGGCATCACACACCTGCCCCGGGGTTGGCCCACGTGTTGACATGTGGGATCTTCTCCGGGGCGGGGAGACCCGGGCAGAAAGAAAGGAACCAGCAGAAGAGCGGAGGGCAAAGGGGCCTGGAGGCGTTTGGAGCTGCTCTGGTTCGGCGCCTAGGGCTGGCGGAGCCGTGCACCACCCGAGAGCTTCTGCCCTACCTGCAGTCTCCTTTGCTGCCTGGTATCCTCGTCTGCTGACGCCCCTCACGCCACTGCCCGGCAGACACCTGGGGATCACCCCCTGGGTTTGGGTCTGCCTTGCTGGAGCGAGGGCAGCCTCACCTGCAGCTGGCAGGCGGCAACCAGCGTCTCCTGGACGTTGCTCAGGCTGAGCTCCAACTCAGAGGTATAAATGAAATGCAGGATTTGGCACATGGCATTGTAGGACACGCCGTGGATCAGGACCTCTTCCTGCTCCATCTCCTTCAATCCCCCAGCAAACATTCCTCTGCAAAGTAAACACATGAAACAGCATTGTCACATCAATCTATATCAATCGTAGGGGCGCCTGGGTGGCTCAGTCGGTTAAGCATCCAACTCTTGATCTCAGCTCCGGTCTTGATCTCAGCATCATGAGTTCAAGCCCCATGATGAGCAAATCTGTATCAATAAGGGCACCAGCCCGGGCCGCAGAGAATGAGAGGGAGCAGGGGACAGGCTGAGCCAGCAGTGATGCGCAACAGAACACTGGTTCGCTCCGTACTCTGAGCATGGAGTCTTGCCACGGAAGGTGCCCACCAGCTCCAGAGCAAGTTTGGAAAGCCATCCTAGAAATCACTGTCTGCGTTTCACGTGCTGCAGGGTGTTGCCCCGAGCCTCTTGGGAGCCAGGGACAAAGTCCGGCTTGCTTTCTGCTGCACCCACAATACACTTCCTGGACCACAGCAGCAGCCCAGAGCATGCCATGAATGAATGGAAGAATGAATAAATGGGAAGTCACAAAAGTCATCCCATTCAAAATACACTGAGCACCTAACTAAATGCCAAGTACCATTTAAAGTCAGAGGATTAACAGTCAAGTAAAGTGATTAAGACTCCTACTTACAAGGAGTTTGATGCTAGGGAGGAGAGCAAGTAAAGAACAAGGTATTTCTGAGTGAGGAAATGCTAGAAAGAAGCACAACAGGGCATCTGACCTAGGAGAGGCGGAGCAGGGGGAGTGATGAGGAGCAGGGACAGGCTGAGACAGAGCTGGGTAGGCCCTCACCAGCCAGTGCATGGCATTCCAGGTGGAGGAGACAGGAGCTCAAGTCCTGGGGCAGGGATGAGTTCGGTACACAAGGCAGCCAGGCCATTGCAAAGAGGAAGTGAGCAGGTGAAACAGGGCCAGATCCTGCTTCCTCCAGGTCAAGACTGAGTCAGGATTGAAATCCAAGCATAATGAAGCACTGTCTGTCGGGGAATTTTATACAGGAGGGTGATGTGAGCAGACTTTTCAGGCAAGAGGGTTCCTGCAGGCCTGGGGAAGGCCCGGTGGCAGAGAGAACATGCTGAAGGACAGAATCTAGGAGAGCCCTGGAGGAACCAGGGCCCTTGGCTGGGTTAGCTGGGCTGACAGGGACTTGGGAGGAATGGGGTCAGAGAGTGAGGTCAGAGTCACCATCACTGAGATGCCCCTGAGGCTGGTTAATGAGGCTGGTGGTCAGGGGAGACAGCAGGGCTCAATATGACAGCCACACACAGAGTAGCTATTTTCACATTTTGTTTATTTTTCAACTAGGTAATATATATAGCAGTACAAGACTTAAAATTTACAACAGGGTGAAAGTTTCCCTCTGGCCCTCCCTCCTCTGCTCTGCTCCAGGCCACCTGTTCGCTTCCCAGGGCAGAGCTACACCCAAAGGCAGTCCACGTACCTTACACTCTACATTTTGACTTAACAATGCATCTTGGAAATGGCTCCTTACTGGTATACGTAGGGCTGCCCCTCTTCCGGTAAAGGCTATCATGGTTGATTTAACCTGTGGCTGCAATACACCTGGGTTACTTTTTTTTTTTTTCCTTAGAGAGAGAGGGAGGGAGGGAGAATCCTAAGCAGGCTCCACGCTCAGGACAGAGCCTGACGTGGGGCTCAATCTCATGACCCCGAGATCCAACTGAGATCTAACTGAGCCAGCCAGGCACCCTTTAAAGTGCCATTTCTATATTCTTTTTTGAACAGTCCAGATTCTCTGTCCAATTTCTATTAGACTCTGTCTTGTCAATTCGACAAAATCTGCTCTTTTTCGAATGAGTTGAAATTTTTTTTTTTCTATCTCAAATCTTTTGATTTTATGATGCCTTTTGCCATGCAGAAGTTTGTCTATTTTGATTGCAGATTTCTCATTTTCTTTTTTGCCTATGAGTTTTATGCCAGACCTGGAAAGGCTTTTCCCTCTGAGGTAACATTAAAAAACATTTCCCCGGGGCGTCTGGGCGGCTCAGTTGGTTAAGAATCGGACTCTCGGGTTTTGGCTCAGTCATCATCTCGGGGTTGTAAGATCAAGCCCCGTGTCACGCTCCGTGCTGAGCGTGAAGCCTGCTTAGGAGGTCTCTCTCTCCCTTTCCCTCTGCCCCTCGCGCCACCCATCCCCCCCCAACTTGCATGGATGTGTGCACTCTCTCAAATAAAAAAAGTAAATCTTTAAAACAAAATTTCCCCATGCTATCCTCTATAGTTTTTTTAATTGTTGATTGGGGCATCTGGCTGGCTCAGTTGGTAGAGCATGCGACTCTTGATCTCAAGAGTCCTGAGTTCAAGCCGCACATTGGGCGTGGAGCCTACTTAAAAAAAAGAAAAATTGCTGATCCACTTGAGGTGCAACTCTCTTTGGTCATCCTGAATCCAGGTTCATACAACACCAGCCGCCTCCACCCTGCGCCCTCCACCAAGTTTGCCCCAATGAGATCAAAGTCTTACTTACACCTGAGGTCCAATGGTGGGGAAGTCAGTGCCATGTCTGCCCTGGCCCCCAAGATTGGCCCCGGGACTGTTTTCAAAAAAGGTTAGTGATGACATTACCAAGGCAACCAGTGATTGGAAGGGTCTGAGGATTACAGTGAAACTGACCATTCAGAACAGGCAAGCCCCAGGATGTCTGGGTGGCTCAGTTGGTTAAGCACCCAGGTCTTGATCTGAGGGTTGTGCGTTCGAGCCCCAGGCTGAGCTTGGAACCTACTTAAAATTTAAAATAAACAAACAAACGGGCACCTTGGGTGGCTCAGTCATTAAGCGTCTGCCTTCAGCTCCAGTCATGATCCTGGGGTCCTGGGATCGAGCCCCGCATCAGGCTCCCTGCTCAGCGGGAAGCCTGCTTCTCCCTCTCCCACTCCCCCTGCTTGTGTTCCCTCTCTCGCTATGTCTCTCTCTGTCAAATAAATAAAATCTAAAAATAAAAAATAAATAAAGTAAAATAAACAAACACACACACACAGAACAGACAGGCCTAGAGTGAAGTGGTCACACCTTTTGCCTCTGCCCTGATTATCAAACCCCTCAAGGAGCCTCCAAGACACAGAAAGAAGCAGAAAAACATTAAGCAGAGTGAAACCATCACTTTTGATGAGAGTATCAACACTGCCTGACAGATGCGGCAGCTTTCTTTAGCCAGAGAACTCACTCTCTGGAACCATTCAAGAGATCCTGGGGACTGCCCAGGCTGTGGCTTGTAATGCTAATGGCTGCCACTCTCATGACATCATAGGTGACAGCAACAGTGGTGTAGCGGAATGCCCAGCTAGTTAAGAACTACAAAGGAGGGGCACCTGGGTGGCTCAGTCGTTAAGCGTCTGCCTTCGGCTTGGGTCATGATTCCAGGGTCCTGGGATCGAGCCCCACATCGGGCTCCCTGCTCGGCGGGAAGCCTGCTTCTCCCTCTCCCACTCCCCCTGCTTGTGTTCCCTCTCTCGCTGTGTCTCTGTCAAATAAATAAATAAAATCTATCTTTAAAAATAAATAAATAAAAAAGGGCGCCTGGGTGGCTCAGCCGTTGAGCGTCTGCCTTCGGCTTGGGTCATGATTCCAGGGTCCTGGGATCGAGCCCCCCATCGGGCTCCCTGCTCGGCGGGAAGCCTGCTTCTCCCTCTCCCTCTCCCCCTGCTTGTGTTCCCTCTCTCGCTGTGTCTCTCTCTGTCAAATAAATAAATAAAATCTTTAAAAATAAATAAATAAAAAAGGGCGCCTGGGTGGCTCAGCCGTTGAGCGTCTGCCTTCGGCTTGGGTCATGATTCCAGGGTCCTGGGATCGAGCCCCACATCGGGCTCCCTGCTCGGCGGGAAGCCTGCTTCTCCCTCTCCCTCTCCCCCTGCTTGTGTTCCCTCTCTCGCTGTGTCTCTGTCAAATAAATAAATAAAATCTTTAAAAAAAAAGAACTAGAAAGGAAAATATTTCAATAAAGGATCATTTGACAACAACAACAAATCATTCCACCTGGTTTATTTTGGTACAACGTGAGGCAAGGGGCAACTTTGTTTTTCGAGAGGGCCACCCCATCATCATCTTCCGCCACTTGGGATGCCATCTTTATCACACACCAAGTTCCTGGCAGGCTGGTGTCTGTTCAAAGTCACTACTTTCCCAATAATGTTCCCACATCTCAGGTACCAGGAGCAGTCTGGATTACTACAGCTCCGTAACACATATGACCGTAGGGGAGGGCCAGTCTCCTTTTATTACCTTCTCAATAATTTCCTGGCCACCGCTTGCTTTTGTAAATTTGGACTTTAGAATCAGTTTGTGTAATCCCCCACCCCCCATAAAGTCTCTTGGTATTTTTATTGGGGATGCATTACACACATAGACTGATGGAGAGCGAGCGAGCTAGCATCCTTGTGATGAACACGATGGGCTCTTCTATCTCACAAGCCAGCCTCTGGGTCTCTGTGGAGATCTTGCAGGTCACCTGCTCACAGACCTGGCACCTGCATGTTACATTTATTCCTAGACATTCTACTCCACCCACACCCCCTCAGGGTGCTTTCCTGTGCTCTGTGGTACACTGACTCACTCTTTGGGGTGTCCATGCAATGTGTGGACCGTGACTGGATCCTGAATGGAGAGGGGAAGAAGGAAGGAGACAGATGACATTTTGGGGACAATTAGGAAAATTTGACTATGGACTCAGTATCAGATAACATTATGGAAGGACTATAAATGTTCTTAGATTTATAATGTTATTACAGATATAGTAGAGAAGGCTCTTACTCTTGGAAGTACACTGAAGTATTTCCAGATAAACTGTTATATCCACAACTTATTCTGAAGTGAATATGGAAAATGCTAACCGATGAATCTAGGTGAAGGGCATGGCTGTTCACTGTACTGATCTTCCAGCTTTTCTATAGGACTGACATCTTTTTTTTTTTTTAAGATTTTATTTATTTATTTGAGAGGGAGAGAGAGAGCAAGAGCACAAGAGCAGGGAGAGGGACAAGCAGGCTCACCACTGGGCAGGGAGCCCAACACGGGAC